TTAATTTGGTGAAAAGGCGAGTTAAGCCTCAGGCCGTTAACCTCGACTTGATTTCTGAATTAGGTTACATTTTATGGATCGTACAGATTTTTATTCACAAAAGAGTTGACAGATGTTGTTACAGAATATGTGACAGAAATAATTGTTAATAAAGAAAAGGCTCGTAAACACTTAACAAGCAAAGTTTAAATGTCCTCGCTTACCCAATAAACTGATCAGTCTCTCCCTCGCTGTACCTATGGAAATTTCGGATTTCCAGTTTCTTTACTTTGTATTTTTAAATGTTATTGTTTCAAAATGTATTAATTCTTCCTATATAAAGATAAGCAATACTCAAATAAAGAATGTTGTTCAATTTAAATGCAAATCGAAATTCATCTCTTTTCATCAACGGAGTATCTTTTTCGTTTCATTAACCAGTGCTAACTGTAAGCCAAATTTAAGACTCACTTGTTTAACTCCCTCAAAATAATAATTTCTTATTTATTCATACTTAAATAAAACTATTTTTTTTAATTTTATTAAGTTATTAATTATATATTAATTATATATTAATTATAATTTAGGTTTAATTATTTATATTTTGTTTTGGAGGTACCAATGCTTCAAATAAGTGTTATAGAATTCAAATGCAATAAAACTAAACTCTTCTTATGCCTATAATCAAGTCCATCAGCTATGTATTAATGTAACGCTTGTTCTAGTAACTCGAAGTAATAACTTCAAAAACGTTCTGCTTTTTTCATATTTATGGTGAAGGTAAGTTTGTGATCGATAATCACAGCACACATGTCAAAAAAAGACCAGCGTGAAGTGGATATGTTTCATTTATTATCGCGATTGTAAAGACACGCTGTATAATTAATAACAAAACGTGTTATTCCTATTATTTTCATTATTGCAAAAAAATGTTCAATTTGATGGTGACAAAACTAACTTTTAACTGTGGTAGGGCCATGCAACAACCACGCTGTTGAACGAATGGGCAGTTCCGTCCGGATAAGTACCACAACCTCACAGAAGAACGGCGAGAAGTGGAAGTATAACACTTTCACTTCACGCCGATATAAAATACAATACATCTATCTGCGTTTCGTCTGGTGAGTGAGGTAGCCGGTCGCATTTTATTAAAAGGTTCCAACGCAACTGCAATCCTACAGCTGTTGCAAATGTCCATGGGCGGCGGTTATCACTTAACATCCGGTGAACCGCTAGCTCGCTTTCCATATTCTCGCGTAAAAACAACAGAGATAGTTATTAAGCAGGTTTGATTTATTCACTGCTATTCAAGTTTACTAACTATATGGATATCTATTTTTCAATACAACTTTCATATATCTCCTGGAAGAAGCACATAATTTTTTATTACTTCAATTTGAACAGTGCTGCATTACGGCGAAATGAAAACGTATTATTCTGCAGGTGCACTAGTTGAGACCAAAAGCGCTCTAAAGGCTCCATAAGCCGACACCCCAATTACTTACTGCTAATACTCGTGACGGCAGACGGCAGACTCGTAAAATATTAGCGCGATATTCTATTTGCTTATTCCCTTTGATGTGTATTTTATTACTCGTATATTGGTTACGTTCTCGCGTTAATTTTATGTACACTTAAATCAGCATTTCCAATGTAGTAACATGTCGTTTTACGAAATGTTTTGCTGGAGAGTATTTGAAGCACGTTTTTGTTCAGTGACAATGGATCTCTCGTGTGGAGTTAAAATTTGTAACTTACCATAATTTAATCTATTATTATGTATTTTAAGCTTCCTTGCAATTTAAATAATAATTTCGTGAATTGAGGAGTAGTGACCCTGCCTCTCCAGACAGTATGGGTTCGATCCCCACTACTGTAAAAATATTGTGTGATAAACATAGTGTTTTGCCAGTGTATGGTTGATTATCTTTGTATAATATGTATTTATTTATATAAGACAAGTATTTTTATCAGTTTTCTAGTACCCATAGTACAAGCGTTGCTTAGTTTGGGACTAGAGAACGTTGTGTAAAAAATATTTATTAAATGTGTCCAAAATATTTACATTTAACAGGCTGTTATAATATTTCTATGATTTACGTCAGGTAATTTAGACTTATCTATTGCAATTTAATTTATTTTTAGTGTTTAACATTAAATATGTTGCTAGTCAATTATTTTCATTCCTTTGTGTTTCAATATTAATGAGAAAAAATAAAAGATGGTATGAGTCAAACTTTCTCTTTGATATGTTTTTACAAAAAACATAGAAATGTGTTATTTCATTAAGATCCATATCAAATTACAAACCTAGCCAGTGTTACGACAAAATATGCGATGTAAATCTGTGACTATTTCCTTTTAACACAGAAAGAAATGTAATTATTAACCACTCGATTTGCCTTCAGTTCATTAGTGTATGTCAAAATAGCGTTCTTTTTCTGGCTAATTAGAGAATGTAACTGCTTTTTTGCACGTAATGTAACGTTAAACCTCCTTGGTATACGTCCAACCTCTTTTTAATTTTTTATACGTCACTAAAATGAACACCACATAAAGTTTTGGGATATAAAAAGCCTGGATATTATTTGCTGTGTTTGTCTACAACGAAAGGAGTCATGTGTCGTATTTTGTATGATTTTCATTAATGTTTTTTTTTTCTCGTTTTTATTTATTTTAAAGCAAAAAACTTGAACGTGCCACAGAGTAATCGCAAAAATCATATTTAGATCGACACGTGTTGCTCGTGTGAGCGGAATGTGATAACTAAACGAATGACTGCTATATAACAACGGAACCGTCGACTATCAAATAAGAATATAAACTCAGTGTGTATCCTTTCAAGTTAAATCGTTAAATTTCCGCAAACCGTTCTGTACTTTCTTTTCTAAAAAATATTCATGACCTTACTACAGAACATATTACAAAGAATATAGTAAAGAACGTAAATTATTTGAACTTTCATCTATTTGAATTAAGTGCGCTAATCTCTTATTAAAATTTACCACTTGTTTTTGTCCTATTTAAATGTCATGTGCCAAAAACAAACAAATTTCAGCCAAGTTTGTGGACAACGTAACGCAAACCGTTAAGCTATTGTTAACAGATTTAATGCTCAGTATTGTATGCCGCGGGTTAATATAGTCCCCAGTTATTCATCTGTGTTTAAATGTCATTTTGTACTTACCCAGCCCGTTTAACTTTCTAACTGCTGTATTAAGCAAATTAAATATGTTTATAGTATTATTTTAAGGATTGTTTGTAGATTAAATACTAGCTTGGTTGCTCTGCCTGACCGGTTGTAAGTCATGTTTCTTTTTGCTTGTCAAAATTTAAGTTTTATAAATATCGTTTAATTCGTAATTAGAAATTATGTAAGGCAGGTGGATCAATTGAAAACCGCCAAAGATGTAACGGTGTTTAAAACACATACGTTTTTAGAAGAAATTATGCCAAAGTTTATTCCTACTTCAACTATCCCAATGGCTGAGATTATATCTGCTAAGTTTGAGATTGACATTCTCGAAAAACTAAAAGATTTAATTGCGAAAATAATGACGCAAATGACCCGGCGGGTAAAAATAAATAATACAATAAAACATCAAATAATGAGCTGGCTTACTGTTCGTACTACTGAAGGCTGCCGCTATACAAAAAGTGTTTACGAGATAAGACAGAAGTTTCCGGAACTAGAGCAGGGAAGATTTAGCGAAACAATGGCCGAGGGAAGCGCTGCGGGTGGCGTGACAAACGATAAGGGAGCGATTGGTTGTTACACAAACCGTTTCATTACAAGTAAATGCTTCGGATAGGCAGCAGAAGTAGTTGTTATTTTATCCATGACATCACTTTGATTTAAATCGAGCATTTATTTGATAACATTTTAATTAACGAAAAAACAATACCGACTTCAAATGTCTTACTTTACTTAAATATCTCACTCGCTACAGATTTTCTATTTGGTTTTGGGGAGTTCCCTTATCCATCTTGGGAGCCCATCGTCTAATATTAATGAAATTAATATTGGACCACATGGGAGCTAAACCAAATCCAAATCACTACATAGTATAAAACAAGTCGCTCCGCTATCTGTCTGTCCATATGTATGCTTAGATCTTTAAAACTACGTAACGGATCTTCAAGAGAAAGGTTTATATGTATAACACATTGCACCCGTGCGAAGCCGGGGAGGGCCGCTAGTAAAGAATAATTTTGAAAATTGGACGGAAACGGGGAGCAGTGCACTGGGCACTGTGTAAAAGTGAACTGGGGTAACAAACATATAAGAACTCACAGCAGCTGACAAAGCCCCAAAACAAAATAATTTTTTGTCCAAAAGAAAAAGTATTATTGATGATTCAAAATTACTGAAATAGTTGTTATAACAATGAAAGAGAGTATGTTATCATATTCGTTTAATTTCATACATATAAACATTAAATCCATCTAAAGCATTAAGTGCCTTAAGACTAGTATCTTACAGTTTTTATCAACAGCTGCTTATAGGTAACAATGTGCAACGCCAGATGTTGCAAGTGTCTTTAAAAGTACAACATATAATACAACACAGATTTCGATCAATGGAAAAGTATCAAAATTATGCTTCAGAAGTATGCCGTAGAGCAACAAAACTTTCTTCTTTATGTATAGCTTTAAAGTTTATTTTACATTTTAGCTTTCTAATCTTTATTTACAATTTCATTTTGTTGTCCAACTAATGACATGTTTTGTATCACATGTTAGTAATCATGTACGACTTGGTTGTAACAAACGAAACATTTTTGAAGAGTATTGCAACAATTTATTACATAAAATTCGTACGAAAGATTTTAGCTATCTTGTGACGAAACCGTCGTTTTAATTTTTCCCACACGTGCCAGTTGCTCATTAACTGTCATGAAATTAAATCTGTTATCTGAAATTAAATCATCAAGTGTTTCGTCACAATCTAGCCCAATAGTGTAAACCACATGGAAATACCCAAAACATCACGCCAGATGGCTTATTCTAATTCTTACCTAGTAAGTCTTTATCAAATGGTCAGACACGAACGGAGTGAAAGTCTCCTCCTTTATTTTCTTCTTCTTTTGCAGGCGACAGCTTTTGAGCTTGTGACCTGTCTCCGACTTGTTGTGTATTGGTTTGTACTGCGCCGATATAGAGACACCTTTCTTGTGATCGCTTTTCTGGCATCCGTTTGCTGTCGACGCCTTCTCCGCGCCGACTTCACCTCGCTTCGGAGCGCTGTGAACATCATTTTTGTGCGAAAATTTTCTAGCGTTCTCCTTGATGCCTCTGTTCGGCTTTTGTTCATCCAGTGGCACTTCTAGCTTGCTGTGATGGAGGCACGTCGATGTTATCTGAAAATAATTACTGAGCTATAACTAATAATGCAGTGTAGGTCGACCTCCACTAAACGGAGTTACGACCTCTGCAAATTTGCGAGAAGTCGATGGACGCAGGTGACTCAGGATCGTGCTTCGTAGCTGTCTGTGGTTGGCCTATCTTCAGCACTGGACTATAATAGATGATGATGACGATTACATAGGAAAGAAATTACGGATATCGCTAGTCGTGTTTACTGTATATTAAACATATCACATAAGGTTTTGAATCTTGATCAACCTAATTATTACACGACTCGTAAGAAGAATTTACCGTAATAGCAAATTCTTGTTTACAGTTGTATGAGTAAACAACATCAGGTGAATCCCAAACTTGCTTGCCACCCCCACAAACAAAAAAAACTAAAATCCACCTAAAATCTGCTAACTCACCAACGGTACGCGCGCGTACTTAGCGGCGCGGTCTGCCAGCTCGCTGCGTAGCCGCCACGCGCGTGCAAGTGCCCACCTTCTCGCTGTGGCAGCCTCGTCACTCCTCGCACTCTGCCACCTTTCGATCACGAAATTTGATGACTCCGTGCCGCAGTTGCAAAGGTCGAAGGTTTGATTCCCACACGATACTATACTACTATAATACTACACTAAACACCCAATACTAGACTAGGGACAAGTCACACTCGCAGTATTTGTTTCAAACCTATCTATGCCGTGGATACATAGATGTCGAATAATAGACTTGCTGTATCATAAATCAACAGAATAGTTTTATCTTTATAATTAGTTTGAAATGTTGTAATTGGCTAGTATCTGACTATAGTAATACTGACACGATAACGCAACACAGTAGTAATATTTGGATGTTTAAATCAATACATGATAAACCAGTAATATACTTTTATTTAAAAATTCTTAGCATAGGTACTTATATATACAGGGTGATTTTATAGACGACGGACATAATAGCCGAGTATATGAAGAATTTGATACTAAATCTGAATCTGGTACGTACTTTTAAGAAATTCCTCACTTACCGTCTCAATACAATAAATATTGACGAACACTAAAAACGAACGCTTATAAATTCGCTGAACGCATAATTACAAACCGCTTATCATGTTTGAATTAATATTTTTCTGGTCATTTTTTTGCCAAAATGTAATATATTTTTTTCAACAATGGAATGGTCAATTGACATTATGTCAAAGTATGTACGTCGCCAAAAATCACCCTGTATACTAGAAAATACAGTTTTGTTTGATACATTAAATATCAAACCAATATTAATAAATTCTCCAGGATGGAACTCAGAAATTAAAAAAAGGCGTGTTAAAATACCTGTTAGCTAGCTGGAGCGCCCTCGCTCGTTGCCCTATAGTGCGCAGCACCAAGCAGGCCGATCCCAACGGTAGCAAATTGCCCGGCGCGAGGGATTTATCGCTGACCGACAACCTCACCGCTGACATGTAGTACTGCAGCGACAGTGGCCAGAGACCTGTCAAATTATTATAATATTGAGATCTTTCTAGTTGGTTTCAACAGTAGTAATACTGATTATATAAATGGCAATTGATAGATATGATATAGTGACAATTCGCGCCCTGGGTAGAACAACGTTACGTGTGCAAAATTATAATTGTTCAGGACGGCCGATGCAAATTATATTTTTTTTACGTAGCAGTTGCTATTACATGAATATTATATATAGTAAATAAACAGTACATTTTAAATGAATAAGTATATAATTGTAGGAGATAAGAAGTTCTATGGGTAATGAGGACGATTTCCTACGGAGAATGACAAAAACTATGGGTCACACGTTTATATACAACGTTCTTCTACTGAAAATCTGTTTGACATATAAGCATGTAACATTTTTTCTACGAACACATGTGATACACCAGTGAAAATTTTTAATTTTCTAAATTAACTTTTATTTGTTGTAATTGTAGCACTCAAACATAAACCGCTGATGTTCTTAATATTGTAACTTATTTAATCACTCAAAATATTTCGTAATTATGTATTCTATTCTGAATCTAAAAATAAAATGTTATCCGAAAGCGTAGACAATAATTAAGACTTTCCGTCTATAAAATCAAATTCCTTCTGTTACCACAGAACGTTATTCCACGCAAGGTGCGAATTGCTTTCACTTATATCATCTACATGAGGGCGTCTACGTTGCTCTAGTGATTAGGCAAGCATCCATACCGATCGTGATGGCGTTACACATACGTTATATATCATGTGAGTGGTCTATGACCATCAACGTATACAATAAACGTCACGTTCGGACTCATCAGAACAATGCTAATTAACATTAGCATCGATAATTTCATCATTATTCATCACGGTGTCGGGGTATCAATGGAATTATTCATTCAAATTTCATTATAGCATAGTTACCAACATAATTCTTGCTTACCTTTCTCCTTAAACCAATCTCCGTATAGTTGATAATGCTTCCAATTATTAGGTTCTATTTCTAACAATCTGTCTAAGATTCCCCTCTTCTCTTCATGCGGGGTAATTTGGAGTAGTTCTATATATGCCTGTACAAATCGTGGCTCCAGCGATATACATCTCTCCAACATCTTCAACGAGTCCCCTATCCTATTCTTCTTTCTGAAATATGTACGTTTATTTTAGTTAATGTACAATTCCAGTCTCCTATTTTTAGTAGTATTGTGTATTCGTTAGATACCTATATAGTTTGGCAAGGTTGTAATGTGCATTAACATGATCTCGGTTATACTTAAGTGCTTGCAAAAAATGATGCTCTGCTCTTCCGGATGCTAGCATAAGTGTTCCCAGATTGTTGTGAGCACTGGCATAGCTGGGCCATAATCTATGCGAAAAAGAACAAGAATATAATGTAATATTTTAATAACAATATTTGTAACTAACTACTTGACGTTTATGGTTATTGATATATTTGATATTTTAATTGTGTAAAATATTATGAAGATATACATAACTTACTTCAAAGCTTCTTTATAATGTCTGATTGCACTTTCCTGTTGTTCGATATCTTTCAAGAAGTTGGCGAAGTTATAATGCAATTTCGCATTATGCGGGAGCACTGCCAAGTCGGCTCTGTAACATCCGTTGCATTCAAATATTCACCGATAATGCATCAACGAACTTTTGCATCGAACTTATTCGAAAAGCGTACCTGAGAAGACTCTCCCTAGTTCTCCAGTCACAGTTGCGAAAATGAGTCCTCGCTGCTCCACTTACGACCAGAACCGCGATCCCAAGTGCAAGAAGACGCCTTCCATTCATAGTCCTCCGCCACATAAGTTGAATTCCATATACCGTCAACATTACAAAACCAACGCTGAAATTAAACGTTTCATGTAATTGGTGCACAGTGATGGGCAACGGGCAAACAGTAACTTCATATATACTTCATACACATATATATACATGTAATATATATATATATATATATATATATATATATATATATAATAATTTGTTGACAAATTATACATTATTTTATCTTAAATGTGAGTTTAAACAATCCTACTTTATCCTATAATATATATTTATTATATATCCTTCCCCCCTATATTATATATTATATATATATCCTTACTAATATTATAAAGGCGAAAGTTTGTATGTATGAATGGATGTTTGTTACTCTTTCACGCAAATATTACTGAATGGATTTTAATGAAACTTTACAATAATATAGCTTATACATCAGAAAAAAAACATGGCTACAATCTGTCTTTCTGTCTGAATGTTACGCCTTCAGCCTATTCTCCGCAGACGTAGTCGCGGACAACAGCTAGTATTATTATAAATGTGAATATAAGTTTGTTTGTTATGCATTCACGCCAAAACTACTCAACCGATTATCATGAGTCTTTGTACACATATTCTTAGAAGTATTAAAAAGGACATAGGATTATTTTATTTTAAAAAGTAGATATTTTTTAATGGCTTCAACGCGAACGAAGCCGCTGGCGAAAAGTTAGTTTAAGATAAAATAATGTCAATAAACATTATTTATTCCATTTTTTAATCACGCAAACTCTTTTACAAAAATGTCATTGGATTTGTCTTCTATTATTTCCGAGGAAGCCATTGGGTACTATAGTACCCCATTGCTTATAACATTTAGTGGCGAGAATAAGCAAGTAGCAACTCTTTGTTTTATTTATTCCAAAGTAATATTTTTAACTGAATTTACGTAAATGTTCGTACTCCGACAAATGAAAGGCTCACCTGGGTATGTACAGCACTCTCTCGGCGACAACGAACCCCACTGTGACGAATAAATTGGAGGCGGGCAGGTAGGGGAAAACAAGCAACATCAATCCGACCACGGCGGGCGTGTGGCGTTGGAACTGAAATATTAGAGCATTTGCTGTCGCAGAGTATTCGGTGTAAGAATTGCTCTGCAAGGATCATACATTTCGTTCGAGTATTTTAACTGACACAAAAACAACATAATTCCTCTCACAGCCTTGAAGCGATGGGTTAGTTAAGAATATTTAAGCTCCCCTCAGGACGCTCTAAATTTGCTTTATAATCCAGTGGTTGAGACATAATATATATCAAAGTTATTTAATAATATCTAAATTACTTTTTAATTATTTCATGAAACCATATTTAAAAGCATATCCCACACCAATTGGTTTCCTATTCTTGGGATTGTATAACTTTTTTTATTTACCTTTATTCTTTTATTACTTATTAAGGCTACCACAATGGCGCACTTAGATTCATAAATTTTTATACAACTCGTTTTATGAAAGCATTAAATATTTTTTATGTTATATAAAAAATAATATTGCTCCTGTTCATCGTAACCTAAATGACAAATCAAAGTGTTTATGCACCAAACCCGTATCGTGTGCTTTTGCACTTTTAACGTAAACTATTTTTGTTATATTATGCTAGAATATCATAGAGCATAGAGTATTGCTTCATTAAAATAAAAGCGTTAGCTCTAAGGCATTGGAGTCCACAAACATTTTCTATTATCCTCTGACTCATAATCTTACCTCAATGTCGACTAAACAGCAATAGGACAGCGCTAACAAGGCAAATAGCGCAAATAGTGTGAGCAGATTGCGTGGATCCCAACCACTAGTGATGAGTGGCACAGACCCCATCTGCCAGTCGTGGCTGAGTGTCCATGGACACAGCAGCAGCCACCAATTGAACGCCGCGAGGTAGCAAAAGGTCATCAACCTGGGACAGACAGATCATTCTAGAAAACAATAAATAAAATCTTAATAATAAAGTAAAGTATCTAGTCATAATTTCGTATGGGCATACGGTATTCACCACGCGGCCCTACGGCGGACTACACATATAATCGAAATATTTTTTTTTGTTATTATTTCGAAAATATGTAGGTTTCCTCATGCATTTTTCCTTCACCGCAGAGTACGTGATAATTCAGCACTTAAAATCGACAATTTCATTGGTGGCGGCACCGGGGATCGAACTTAGGTTGCCTGAGTATATTGAATTAAAAGCGAGCCCCCGGACACTGAGCTGTTACGGCCCCTAAATTGTAATAAAGAAACAGTTAATGGAAAAATTAAAAAGGTGAAAATAAGAAAATTGAACATAAAACTTGTTGAATTTCTGTGTACTTCAGTTTTATGTTGTCTGATAAATATGGGAGATGATGTCAAACTGTCTCTTTAAACATTACTCCTGGCTTTCTTTTTCTACATAAGAGTATTTACATATCTCCTTGTGAATTAATTTTGCTGTTAAAACTTACGAGTACTTTACTACTGTCGGCACCAGAAAAATCAAGAAATATTAGACAAATTTCAGTAAACTAAATGTCACTCTAAACGATTATTGTATAGAGGTAATAAATCATTGGCTTCACATAAATCATTCTACTGCGTTGATAGTCGGGATGATCTGATGATATTATACCTATAAAACTATACCATACAAAATACTCCATTAAACTTGTTTATAAAAAATCGGCCAAGAGCGAATCGGACTCGCACACAAAAGGTTCCGTACCATTATCTTTAAAAACGGCCAAAAAATCATGTCTGTTTATGGGAGCCCCACTTAAAAAACTTAATTCAGTTTTTTAGTATTTCTTGTTATAGTGGCAACAGAAATAAATCATATGTGAAAATTTCAACCGTCTATCACGGTACATGAGATACAGCCTGGTGACAGACAAACAGACAGATGGCGGAGTCTCAGTAATAGGGTCCCGCTTTACCCTTTGAGTACGGAACCCTAAGAAAGGGGGGTTGTTTTACCTTACGATAAACGTGGGGTGGAAGGCCGGTGGGTTGTCTTGCGGGGAGAACGCTGGGAGCGATCCTTGCAGCATGGCTATTCTGAACGTCGCTAACAAAGCAAGCGCTGCCATTCCACGAGCCACTCTACCGTACACGCTGTCCCCTTTCCATCGGCACCTTGTTGGACAGGATCTGATCGAAGAAGAGGCAAACGATCCGACGGTTCACCTGATGTTACGTGATAACTACCGCCCACGGATATTTGCAATACCGCTTGCAGATGTGTTGCCAACTTTTAGTAATCTTGGCCCCGGCTACTTCACTCACCAGACGAAACGCAGAAGTTTAACACTTTTACATTATGCCGCTCTTCTGTGAGGTCATGGTACTGACCCGGACGGATCTGCCCATTCGTGCAACAGCGCATAATGTTGCGTGGTCCTACCACAGACAATCATAGGTAATCGTAGCATATATTTATGAATGTGTGGATGTATACGTGTTTGTATTTGATGTACTCCTATATTGTGTATGTTACTATTGCACCACCTAAGCAGTAAACGTTCCTTTACGCCATTGGTTGCCTGGAAGAGATCGCTATGAAGCGAAAAGGCCGCCAAATTGTGCATCCCAATAAATTTGTTTGACTATTGTTAATTTTATGTATCCTTTTATGTGTGGTGGACAATAAAGTATTCATTCATTCGTTCATTCATACATACATTCATTCATTAATTCATTAATTCATTAATACATTCATTAATGAGATTTATTTATTTATTTATTTAATTTTCATGCACTCACTGTACAAAGGCGGACTTAATGCCAGTGGCATTCTCTACCAGTGAACCTTAGGGTGGTGTAGAGAAAAGTGAGATAGGTGCACAGATATTACGTGTTGAAGGATAAAATATTATTCATAAACTAAATAAAAATACATAAATATGTATATATATAATAACGTAATATTACAACGTAATATGTACTATAAGGAATAAATACAAGAGAGATTAGGCTGCTACTGAGCTATTACGCCTTACTTACTATCAAGTGAGATAGTAAGCTGTAGTTGTATTACCAAATAGAATAAAAACTTAAAATTTATCATTTTTTTTTTGTTTTTTCGCATATTCCTTTCTTAAACTGTCCTGGCGTTTTGCTATCATAAATTCCACATCGGCAATCCTAGATCCGAAACAAATATCTGTCTCACCGTCGTTTACACACTTAATACATTGGATATATTATTTATCACGTGTGTAAACGACGATGAAACTTCTGATGCATAATGTTTAAAACGAATTAAATAAACTACAATACCAATATTTTAGTAGTAGTATACTTCAGAGTACTCGAGCGATCTTAGTTAATTCATTAAAAACTTGGTAAAGTAAGTTGTTACAAACATAAATTGAATACATTGCGTTTAGCATCTATCTAATAAATATAACTAAAGTCTTGTTCTCTCTTCGATTTACTGAATTTTACTGCACCTAAAATTTCTTGCAATGTATTTTATTGTTTATCTGTACTCCATGTCGGTAAAGGAATGTTTACGGGCACCCTTGTGCCCATGAAAATATATTAAAATGCCCTTATTCAAACTGGTAATTCAATTTGTAAACCAAATTACAATATTATTAATGTGCGAGCGCTAAATAGGGTTCCCAATCCCTGCTCTATACTATGTTACACATATTTTAAGGTATTGTAAGTTCTGAAACAAACATACTTTGTGTATTGATTTTAGGTTAGTGTGAATCGATTGAAATAAATTTTTGCTTTATTATGCTACTCTTAAAATTCCCAGTAGTCTTACCGTATTATTGAACCCCAGCAGCGGTACAGGTCGAAGATGACGTTAAACAGCAATGCAGTCAAGCCAGTTTCTTTAGCCAGCATGCTTAATGCGGCAAGCAACACACTTGGCCAAACTCTATGTTTCCCTGACGACCTGCAATCAAATTCTTCTATGTAGTTCTGATAAATATGGCATATAGAGGTACTGGAATCAGTGAACTTTATGTTTTTCTCGTGTGCTGTAAAGGCCAACCCCAACATCTTGGTCGTGAATACCTGGTTAAAACAAACATTACACAATTTGCATATACCCGTGCTTAAGTCATTAGAAATTAAATAGCCAAAAGTTTCTTTTGTCATTGCTATACACACGACTCGGTTTCTGCATCTTTTGAGCATTATCGTTCCCACGAAAATGTAGATTTTCGTTTCAACAATACCCAGGCAGTACTGAGTAGGCTTAAATCTAATGAACACTTTACAATAAAACCACTGCGAGAAGTATAGTTCAGTTAGTTAAGTTTTTATTTTTCGTTATTACAAAGGTTTAAAAGGTTTTTTTTTTTTTAATGTGAACATTTGAATTTGGAAAATTTAGAAAAGAACTGCAGAATTAGAGCTGCAGAATATATTTAAAGAAGCATTAACAAATCATCCTAATCTCCAAACCCATGTTTTGCGTAGGAATATTGAATTATGTAACATAAAGTTTATAAGGGGCTTTAAAAGGACGCCTAGCATGGGTTAACATGCTGAATAGGCTAATCAAAACAACATTTTTGAAGCAAATCTTAGGTTGCTAGATCCCTAAACTGATCCAATATTATTAATTCAACAAATTGGAAAGCATGAGGGAGGTTAATATAAAAGGTTCGAATCAAAATCTAATTACAACTTGACGGACTTCTCTTGTATTTTATCGTCCACTTCATAATGATATTACGACTTCGAAATGTTCTCGTGCATGCCCTACAAGAAACTTTTCGATCTTCCTTCCAAAAACAACTTCGCGCTTCCAACTCCAAACAATGTCAAAGAACTTTATAAGAACATTAACAAACTATTGGCGAGTGTCCGAGCGATCCCCTCTTATACATCCAAGAGGCAAACTTCTGTGTACAGTAATCGTCAATATCGAAGACGTTGTTTGGGTGGGTATATTTTATTTCTGATTTAGACCACGAAATTGGATTTTGGGATGAGGAAAATCGATGCTTGGTAAAACATCGTAATCGACTAGAACCTTAAGAAACTTTTCGTTTTAAAAACCGTCGATGAAATGTATATGATAATCCCCATTTTGAGAGAAGAGATTGTCAAAGAAGTAAATACGACCCTAAAGTACAATTATCTACTATTAGACTGCTTTTTTATGTTCAAAGTTGGCAGATTAGCGGGCGGTTCACCCGATGTTAAGTGATTACCGTTGCCCACAGACATTCCAAAATCCCTGGCTACCTCACTTATCAGACAAAATACAAAAGAAAATTCCACTTCCTTCAAAATTAATATTTTCTCTAAACACGTCAAAAATTTTTAAGAATATACCATCGATTGATAAGCGATACAGCAAATGATTTAGAAATATCGCTGAATCGGAATAGATTTTGTTGAAACTACGCTATTACTGCTAATGTTACTTCGGTTAATCATCACAATAGTCTGTGAAAAAATTGCAACAATAAATTACAATGTTTTTATAATGGTAAAATTTAGAAGATAAGATTACTAAAGAAATAGAAAATTTTTTTTTTCATAAAAATTTTATCTTAAGAACAATTTTACGTTAATCCGCAATGCTTGCTGTATACATGAAAAGCTGACCATAGGGTGAACGCTGTGCCTAATAACTCGGCCATGAACTGTAACTCACCCGTGATAAAGAAGAAGGGATGACAGAAACAAAACACAGGCCAGGACATCCGCCCTGCCAACCACACCGGTAACCTGAAAAATTTTCACAACGTCAAATTTACACAGGAATAGTAACACAATTTTGCCTGAGCCGTACCATATTTTTGAGAAAGTGTAGTTCTTAGTTTACTTTGTTTAATTATTTTAATGATTTTCGAGATTCTCGTCCAGATTTATGTATGTTCATCTGAGCTTTGCAATGCTGCCAAATCGCCTTTAATAAACTAATTATGTGAAAGTTAATAAATGCATAACCTCCTAGTCCACCCAGTCCTAATCTAAGTTCGTGTTTAATTTGTTATAAGCCCTGTAATGTTTTTATCAACATTTCAAATATTTTAATCTCTTTAAAAGTTTTTAGACTGACTTACTAACTCTTAGAAATGAACACTAATCTATACTAATATTTTCTTCTAATTTTGTTTCTCAAAGGTCGTGTTCCATTTTATGGAAACGCTGTTATATAATTATATATCGCTTTAGAGCCATACAATTATTCGAAATTAGGCATTTGTCATATCTTGTTATAATAATAATGGATACATTGTGTCATGTTTCACATATATCGAAATTATTGTTCACATTTCGAATGGCGTTCATACTGTAGATAGTCCGTGTTTCCGTTGATAAAGATTGCGCGCATGCCAACTGTCGTGAGTAGGCATTTTGTATGTAATTGGAGCGATCCCACGCGCCGCTGGTAATTAACGACAAACGAAGCTGAAAGTTAATTTGTTACGCATTCGCGGGCGCGCGAATGTTTATTATTTATTGCATGGGTAAATTTAGATGACGCTTACGTTTCCCAACGATAGCATTTGCTTACTAACGCATAATATAGTCGGTTGGCAAAATTGCAATTGGATTAGCTTTTAGAAAGTGAGAGTTAAAATCTGGCTCCGTTGCGTTTGTATTTAACTTGTTTTACGTTAATATTTTCAGGAGTCACTACAAGACTTTTAGCGGTGGTAGGGCCTCGCAATACTGTTGCACGAATGGGCAGGTCCGTCCGGGTAAGTACCACGACCTCACAGAAGACCGGCATAAAGTAGAAGTGTTACACTTCTGCGTTTCGTCTGGAGAGTGAGGTAGCCGGGGCCCACTTTAACGCATTTGCAACCCTACGAGTGTTGCAAATGTCCATGGGCGGCGGTTATCATTTAACATTAGGTGAACCACGCGCTCGTTTGCCACTTTCTTAAAAAAATAATTAAAATAACCTTCATAGAGCACTTGAGGATTCATTTAGTTATAAAATTATAATTTAACATTATTAAAATAAAATTTCGATATAAAAACGTGAATTTTATATTTTTAGGGTTCCGTACCCAAAGGGTAAAACAGGACTTTATTACTAAGACTCCGCTGTCTGTTTATCTGTCTGTCTGTTCATCTGCCACCTGGTTGTATCTCATGAACCGTGATACTGTACTATCACAGAATTGAAATTTTCACAGATGATGTATTTCTGTTGCCGCTATAACATCCAAAATTAAAAAACAGAACAAGAAAATATTTTATTATAATGTGATGACTTTCCAAAAGTTGTAAAGGTTTTAATTGAATAGAAATGGGCATCGCTGATGATGGCCTGAAGATATTCTTAATGCGGGAAATTAACATTTTTACAGAATATGAAAAGTAACTATAATATTTAAAGATATGACGTGAAATTATTACGAAGTGTTGATCATAGTGTAAGTGAAAGACAATTGAAGTGTTCCAAATGGCTTATCTTAATGAGAAATAAACAGCTAGTTGGGTTTAAGCAATTTTACACTGGAATAAATATACCCATGGTCCGAGTTCTCAAAAGGTTCTCTCTTAAAGGCGATGAAAAATTACCCTCTTGAGGATGCGTTACAAGATATATCCGTTATCAGTATCTAAATTGGCCAAAATTGTTAACTAACATACACAAAATATCGCAAGTAGCAGAAGACTTTTAAGTTATCCAGACCATTATTATCATAGTAAATTTTATATGTACGCTCCGTGATACGTTGTCATGAATCAAAGGACTTACCGTTTGCAAATATAACCGGGCCGGGCTTCATTAGAATTGCCTCAAAATCATCATTCAAATTATCGTTCTCTTGAGCAATCACAATATTGTGATGATGGACCAGGTTTAATCGAGAACATTGACAAAATTTCTAACATACCACCATTTCATATATTACTAGAGACTGCGTAAAACTCGAAACAGATAAAAAGACTGTGTGCTGGACCTGTCCAATCTAGAGATATGATTTCGTTCCTAAAGCATTATGTTGGATTTGTTCATGCCTGTTTTATGAGAGAGATGAGGGCGGTAACCGGAATCGAGGAAGGAACACCTCACCGTCACTGCAGAATAGTTTTTTTTTTCTGTTTTATATTTGGGGAATATATGAAAGTTTTTAATGCATGTAGCTTACCCTTTTTTCTTCTCTAAGTCTGATTGGATATCGATTGTTACATATGTTGTTGAAAGTTTTAATTTGAAGCCACACCTATAAATATGATTCCTCTCCAGTAAGCTTTCTCACACAGCGCAGTGGCTTAAGTTGTACCATAAATTCGAATAAGAGCCAGAGTCAACGCTATCGTGACTACTTAAGTGGAGAGTAAACTTACCGGCGATGTACGCGCAATTTTCCTGAACAAAGGCATAACTTGATCCAGAAACTCGACTCTCCGTGGAAGTTGGCCGCCGTAGCGTATTTTAAATTGTTGTTCAAGAATAATATATATTTTACGAACTAATTACTACCTATAGACATATTAATACATGAATTGTGAAATTGTGTTTTGAGTAATATAAACGAATTACAAGTAGTACTCGTAACAAAGATATATAACATAAAATGTAGATTACTAAGATGCCTTGGTGGCGGAGTGGCTAAGTTATTGGTTTTGGCGTCGAGGGTCGTGGGCTCGATTTCCACATGGGAACAAGAGTTAATGTGACACAAACGGTAGGTGGCAACTCAGCAGCCTCGGCTGTTGCACGAATGAGCAGGCTCGTCTGGGTAAGTGCCATGACCTCACAGAAGAGCGGCGTAAAGTGGAAGCATAATATTTTCGCGTTTCGTCTGGTGAGTGCGGTGGCCGGAGCCCAATTTTAAAAAGGTTGTCAACGCATATGGAACTCTAGAGTTTAGCAGATGTCCATGGGCGGCATTTACTTAACATCAGGTGAACCGTCTGTTCGTTTGGCAACTTTTCACATTAAAAAAACACAAATAATTGCTAAGAATAATAATAACAATGAAATAAGAAACACAAATCTTGGTGTTTATTGCCTAAGTCTTCTCTCCTTGGCTTCAAGAAGGCAGCCGATCGTAAGAAAACCTAGACAAAACATATTATTCTATAACATAATTCTCATGTGGTGCCGACCCATATTTTGGACAAGGACAAGAGGAAGAAGATACAATATGGATACATTTTAGATACAATTTATAGGATGATTTAAAACTAAATTAAATTTTAATACAAAAGGGAAAATGCATCATTTTAGAAATTTAGAAATATATAGCATGTTTCATCGGTCTAATTTTAGTTCAAAACGTGAGTTAATGTAGTTAGTACCAAAAATACGTCAAGCAAATGAAGAGCTGAGTAAAGCACATAAAATTCCTGAGTGCATGGCACTGGATATCGGAAACCGTAGAGTCGACGGTCAATCATTAGAATACCCTATTCAAAAATGCAACTTGAGCATAAGCCGATACTTTGCGCGCTCCGCTAAGTGTAAACTCGTGTAACTCTTGAGGTTGAATTTTCTACACATATTTGCGGTACCCTACGCGTGATATTTAGGCGAAAAGTTCTTCCCTTCTCATGCTTTTAAAAGCCGTATAAAGGTGTGGGAGAGGTGAGGACGAGTGGTTGGAAAGCGCTTTAGGTTTCTTGGAAAATTTTAAGTTGGATGACTCGACAATCGAAAACTGGTTCTGTGTTATGTTAATATTTTAGCGTTGACGTAATTCTCTATGCCTACGCACACCCGCTCTCTCCTAGCCAAAGACGGGTTATGTTCGACTCCATCGACTAAAATCCCCACGATGTCCCATCTAGACTCTCATATTGACAGGGGAATTCTTTCGCACATTTCCTTGACCCTGCCAGCGCTCCTCGGGGATCAAATCCTCTCTCCTCTACGTATGACGCACTGCAACATTCAGAGCGTCATCTTTCTCGGCCTCGTTTGCATGGACAACGAACCGATGAAATTCTACCCTTAGATTAGTCACTTATCCGGAACTGTTTGATATTTTTTTATTTAAGAAGGAAGGCAAGTGCGCTGATGGTTCACGTGATCTTAAGTGATAAACTCCGACCATTGACATTTGCAAAACCCGTCGGATAGCAGATGCGTTGTCACCTCATAATGAAGTGGACCCCGGCTACCCCACTCATCAGACCAAACGCAGAAGTATAACACTTCCACTTCACACCGGTCTTCTGTGCGGTCGTGGTGCTTACCCGGTAGAACCTTGCAACAGCGAAGACTGTTGGATGGCCCTGCCACTTAAGAGGTGAGTATGCAAACATCACGACCTCAATCGCTAACCCGTCTTCTAAAAAAACCTTATGCGTGATTAAAAAATCTAATTGCTCGACATAGGTATTTGAAACCAGTCGCCAACTATAAGAAAGTTGGCATTATTCAATCGGGACTTCTGAATATTGAACAACCGTCTCTCCCGAGAATATTGCGGCGAAGTTATGTATTTGATCAGCGATATTGAATATAACTTTGTTACTAAATTCACACAAAGCTTACTCGCAGGTAATAACGTTATTGCTGCCCCGGGAGCTCTTGTTAAAGGTTACATACGTAGATACGGGAGGTGACGTCAGTTTCGGTCAAATTTCGTCGAATCACATCGCGTGGTCAGCTAATTAGTGATAGTCTAGCCAACTTAGTGGCTTGAGTACTAACGTTTTGGGACAAAGTTCGCTTTGGTGGTTAATAACTTTTTGATTTAATTTTCACGAAAATGGTCGTAAAATTTGCGAACATACCTGAGAAACAAGTCGCTGATGCTATTAGCAAGTTTTGTTACAACGGCCCGCCTGCCTTATGTCACGACGCCCTTTTTGGCACAAACACCCAGATATTCTATGGGTCACACAAAAACTTGGCTTGTGTGGGAAACTTAATCATGACCCCCGGCCGCAGAAGCCAGCTTAGCAAGAGGCTATCAGGTCAAATCTCCGTATAGACATAAAATTTCCATAATTCGACATTATAGATATGGCTGAATATTGTTTAACATATGAACGAATATCGTTTTACAACTCACGTGCATACAAACAACAAAAAATGCTGCAGTAAAGTTAACGTGCAAGTGTTATGGATAAAGCAGTATTTCTTTTACAGAAGTCTAATAGTCCACCACGCGGCCCTACATCGGATTGGCGGACTTCGCATATCTTTGAAATACATCTTTTTTTTTTTATTAATATTTCGAAAATATGCAGGTTTCCTCACGATGTTTTCCATCACCGTAGAGTGATTATTCAGCACTTAAAATTAATAACTTCATTGGTGCCGGCACCGGGTATCGAACTCACGTTGCTCGAGTATATTGAATTAAAGACGAGCGCCCGGATACTGAGCTATCACGGCTCGCAATTTTTTTTAACCTGTGAATAATTCACACCTACTCGTACAGAACAATTAGACTGAATAACCTATAAGAGTAACACATAATGCTATAATCCAAAAAGTATTAAAGTAACATATTTCAAACTAACTCTGATATACATACCCTAAATTTAATATAGAGCGTGGTAAGGAAATATTGGCCGAAAACACAAAAGCCCGCGTACGAAACATTTTGAATTCGGCTTCCGTGGCGTCATGTGTGAAATACGGCCGCACGCAACGTCCGTATGTCAAATAATGTGGCTAAATTAAGAATACTCTCGTGAGCCTACTGCACCGATATACCTCTGTACAAAATTTTAGGTGACTATTTATTTGTGTGTATATAATAACAATGTGTTACACAAAGCAGAAAAATCGAAGAATGTTATTGGCGACACAGATCACTGGGGACTATTAAAACATGTGGGTGCTTTACAGTGATATTGAAATTCATGCTATAGCAATGTGATAAAGACAAAAATATCAAACGGTGAACATAATTATCTGACTATCATAAGATTTGTACGCTTTAATTTTGCATAAAAACCCAAAAAGCGTTTGACAAAAGAAAAAGTTAATTAACTCTCATCGAAATATTCTTAAAAATTTTCCTTCTGTAATGAGATATGAGATAAAGTTGATAAAGTAAACTTCTGTAAAAGACATCTCCTAAAATATGAGCATATTTTAGGAGATATCCTCCTATGATATTCCTCATATGAGCAAGAATGTTTATGAGTACCTGCTTCTAGCAGGTAAATAGACAAATTTGCTGGCTTGTCTTTTCACTTGCTCACGTAGAAACTTTACGGAAACAATTTTAACAGAGACAAAACTGTTATTACAACAACAGCGAAATATTTATCGGAAAAAAAAAATTATCCCTCTGCTTCAACCGTTCCAATGAATGAATTCGCAAGAAATGGATGCTATTGATACGCTGTACGTCCGTCCTGAATAAAACGCAGTCTATCATCTCACCGCCTCCGTATGGATGGGGTGGACGGCGAACAGCAGGGCCGCTAGCGCAGCGAACGGTCTTTGCAGTCTTGCCACCACGGCGCCGGTGCGTGCCACCAGAACGCAGCACGCAGCGTGCAACCCCACGTTGCACACGTGCCACCACCACGCGGAGAGACCGCATAGCAGATAGTTCAGTCTGCAACAAGACATAGTTACATCCTTACTTACATTATTACTAATATTATAAACGCGAAAGTTTGTATGTATGGATGGATGTTTGTTACTCTTTCACGCAAATACTACTAAATGGATTCTAATGAAATTTTTTATTCATTAGAATAAGCCATAGGCTGTAATTTATATACATATTACATGTACATCTGTCTTTCTGTCTGAATGTTACGCCTTCAGCCTATTCTACGCAGACGTAGTCGGGGGCAGTAGCTACTTACTGAATAAACGACTAGTTGACAACAGACTTCAAGGCCTACCAACGATTTCGTTACTCGTTTAACACTACCCAGGGAATCCGTTTAGGGAATTTATTCAAGTAATTCTTACAGTTGCCAGCATTGCCATAGCTCAAAAGCTCACATAGACACTGCTGTTGATATAGCTTTGTCAGTCAAAAGTGAAGATAATCTGTTTTTAAAGCTCGCTAAAACTTTATCGCGCTCTGTTATATTCAATGCGTTAAGCCCGTTGGGAACCCGTTGAATGGAAAACTTTGGCGACAGCTAAACGGGACCGTGACAGCGGAGTGGTTTTTTTGCTCGGCATTAAAATTTCACATCGGTTTAATTGGACGTGCGGAATTTTTTGCCCCCTCTTTTGGGACCCCTGCTCCCGAAACTTCGGATCACGTTCATTAAAATACGATGAGCGATGAATTTAAAGGGGGATCGGAGCGGGAGGCTCTCGCTTTGTCCGCGTTTCAATTTTCGTTATGAACGTATGCGATTCGTAATTCTCGTGAAAGGGACAAGTGGATGACTTTAACGGGGTGACTGAACCGATTTCTGCCCGTGTCTGAGTTTCTGATTGCCATTCCGTTTTTCGTGTGTACAAATTAATTTTGGCCAATTAACAGTGAATACTGATGTATTTTATTTTGTTTTGTTTCCCAAAAGTTGTTGAAATTGAGTTTTGGGTTAGACTTACTAATTTAACAATATTGAATCTATACCACTGTAGTAGCTGTTACTTCCTTCAAACACTTTTCCCCTTCTTTCAAAGACTTTTCCTCTTTCATCATCACCGCGTCCACTGTTGCACTGCCTTCCCCGTAGACATCTATAAAGATCGATCCCGAGCCATATGCATCCATCGACTTCCCGCACATTTGCACACGTCATCACTCTATCTAGTTGTGGGTCCTACATTGCTATGGCCAATACAAGGCTGCCATTCGATAACCTTACTTTCCCATCGGTTACATTGGTTTAACTTTGTTCTATTTCGGATGTCTTCGATACGAACTTTATTATGCAGAGAAATACGGAGCATATTCCGCTCAATTGTTTGCTGAGCGACTTTGAGCTTTCTCATACGGTCAATAGTCTACTTCTCGGCTCTGTAGGTCATCACTGGCAACACACACGATTGACGACTTTAGTCTTCAAACATTGAGGTATACTGGATGAGAAGATATTGGGAAGTTTCCCGAACGCTTGCCTTCCAAGTTAGATTCGCCGGTTGACCTCTGCATCGAAATTTGACTTACCTTACTGGACTAAGTGTATACATAATCGTCAACAACTTGTAACAAAATGCTCTCAAGAACCGCCATAGGCGTGACATGGACATTAAACGATTTCCACCTCAATTCCTTTTTTACCGAATAAATAAAAAAATGCTTCTTTTCTTCTTCAATATTCCTGCAAAATTGCAGCAAGCATTGAGTCGGCGTTATTAAAAACGTGAAACGATGGTTATTTATTTATTTATTTATTTATTTATTTACTTATCACCAACAAAGTACACACTGTGACAATAATTATACAAGTTTTACAAAAATGCGATAAGTGATACCTTAATTATAGGTAAAAACTACATTAAAACAGGCAGTAAAGACAAAAACCAAAAAACTTTTACAAAACTAAATGTGAAAAACGAGCATTATAATAATACAAACATTAACTAAAACATGGTTAAAACAGAAAAAAAGCAGTATAAAAAGAACGTTACTAAAAAAAAATATGTTACAATAAAAAAATAAATGAATTGACTGCCAATAATATTTTTATAAATTGTTAATTTATAAAAATGTTATTGGCACTCAAGTACAATTTTATCGAATGTTTGAATCTGAATATATTATTGTCAAAGATATCGATTTCTCTTTCCTTATTTAATAAGTTGAATGATTTAATTAATCTATTAATAGGAGCATTGTATCCTAAGTTAGACCTAGCCGCATTGCGGCGAAATAATGGCCTACTGCACATTCTGAGATGTTTCGAAAGAGCTGTGAAGCATAAGGTTTCAAGTAACTGTGGGCAGTCATGTAGGCCGTTTGCTAATTTGTATAAAAACATGTTGTCAAGCAAATATCTTCGATCGGAGAGTACACACAGCCCGAAGTAATTAAGTCTGTCAATATACCGAAGTAACTTTTTTGTTAGGCCGCACTTAATAACCAAATGCCACAAGAAACGCTTCTGTATACCCTCAAGTCTTTTGATGTAGATGTTATAGTGAGGATTCCAAACGACAGGGCAATATTCCAAGATACTTCGAACTAAAACATTGTATAGAATAATTAATGTCTGTGGATTTCTAATGAATTTTGCATTTCTCAAGAGAAAGCCTAAAATTTTAAAGCTTTTTTGACACAGATTGTCAAAATGGACATTAAAGCACAATTTTTTGTCTAAAGTTACACCTAGATCGCGAATTTCATCAACCTCTTGTAGTTTATTATTTTGTACGGTGTAAAATCGATTAGGATAAGTTTTTGATTTTGTGAAACGAATGACAAAACATTTATTTATATTAAGACTCATCATGTTTATCCGACACCAAGCCTCTAAACGATCAATATCTTTTTGAAGTAAGGAAACATCATTTGTACAACTTATGGTTCTGAAAAATTTCAAGTCGTCAGCAAAAAGATAGAATTTTGAGTGATTAAAACAATGTGTTATGTCATTAATAAATAAGTTAAATAGAATTGGGCCTAAATGTGAACCTTGAGGAACTCCAGAAACAGCTGAAAAAGAGTCAGACTCGTAACCATTATTTATTAATAATTCGCCTATAATTGTTATCTGCTTCGGAAATTCTTGACTTTAATCAAGAGTGAACGTAATTTCTTGATGTTTTGAGTAAATTGACTTGACGAAGATTCGCATAACCTTTAACCCGGTAAAGTAGGGGAACATAATTTTCCCCGCAATTAGCCCGCGCGGGGAATCCGGAGCGTGGCAGTAGAATCGTAATCTGCGTAATGAACATTTCGGATGTGGGGCGTACATACAAGGTTATACTAGTCACCCTGTTTCGTTTCAACCGTCTTCAAAAAAGGAGGAGATTTTCAATTTGACTGTATTTTTTTTGTTACCTCACAACTTTCGACTGAGTGAGCCAATTTTGATGATTATTTTTTTATTTGAAAGCTGGTGCTTCCCATGTGGTATGATGAATTGTTGCCAAGATTCGTTTAGACCGAAGTTACAACATTTTTCTGACTGTTTCGTTTTGATCTAGAGGGAGTTGCTAAATTGATAAGTGACAAATGTTCAGGACAATACGATACACCGTTGATTAGTTTATACAAGAACAGGATTTTTATTAATACATCTTCGCTCGACAAGTGGCTTTATTTCAAAATGATTTGTTTTAATTCATTTTATACTCATTCCTTACAAAAAATTAAGTCTCAAAGTGACTAGTTTCTATAATTGAGCTATATGATTTATCATTATTTAGATTTAGAACTATCTTTCTGTGCGAACAACCATATTCTAAAATATAATAACCGTTAAAACAAAGCACTGTCTATTCCGATCGATTTAATACGTATGATATTTTTGTGTATGAGACGCTTTATATACACATGAAATTCTAAGGTAATAAATACCTTCGACGTATTGCCGACCGGCAGGCAATTAGGCAACATCAACATCAGATAATTAATCTAATTTGTCCACGTACCGAATAGTCTATTAATCCGGTAATTGATGGGGGATTGTTTACACTTTAGTTGTTCTGATATCGTGGAGAGGGAAACCCAGTAAATTGTGATTGTGTTACCGAAGCTTTTGTCTTACATGTCTACAATAGTTTTATTTTAGTAATAATATTACTGTTTCTACTCTGGTAAAATTTACAATATCATGTTTATTGATATATGTGAAAGATTTCTCAGAGGTCCGGCCCGGGGTTTATGACGTCGGCTTCACGTAATTAAATTTTAGGTAATCAGCAATAACAAATTACCAATTACAAAGTAGGCATGTAATCACCAGAGTTGAGCGAACCAACGGCCCCGATTGGGAGGCCCGAACTGGCTCTCTCTAATGAACTGAGCCCCAGACTCACCACTCTCCAATATTTAAAATGTAACAGTTGCCCCCTCAAAATGATTCCGATCGTACCGTTACAAATATATATCAATTGAGTTAGGTACTAATTATATAATTATTATCTAACATCGTGCGTGGAGACAGACTAGGTTTTTACGTTCAAAATTATGTTCATATTTATATAACTCAAGTAAACTAAATAAAAAGTTGTGTTGTGCGCTTTGATATATAATTTTTATTGAATTTTAATTAATTGAAATGATTTAAATTTATAAATTAAAATTAGAATCTGCTGCGTGGTCCTAGCTCAGCAAAAATACTTGCGGACACATTTTTACACAACATTCTCTAGTCAAAAACTAAGCAACGCTTGTACTATGGTTACTAGAAAACTGATAAACATACTAAAGTATTGAACGCCAAAGTTCTTAGGCTTGGCAACCCAAAAGGAGAGAAACCCCAACTTCGAAAATAATTCGTACACGCTCCACTGAGTTTCATTAATCCTGATTTATTAAGTTTTAACATGTCGAAAACAGACGATTACCTAATTTAAGGTTCTAATTAAAATTTATTGAACGTAACGAATATGGTATTCACAGTGATATTTTATCAGTTTTCTAAAGGTTAAAAAAAAGTATCGCAAATGTACAAAGGACAATACTTTATA